GTCTGTGGCTATTGATGATTTAATGGAGTGTGTGACGGTAGAAAGAGTAATATAATTGTTAGTTGTATGTATAGGAGTCCTGGGACACTGATAGAAACATTCACAGATGTAGTAGAAGATTTATTGAGCAAGGTAAAGGGAAATAAGACATTCTGTATTTGCGGTGATCATAATATTTATTTATTTTTTAAATGTCCAATCATAAGGCATCATCAGTTTTTTTTTAGTTATTTTTTGGAAGAGGGTTTTACCCTCTGATTACTAAACCAAGTAGAATAACTGAAAAGTCAGCTATTTTAATTGATCATATTTTCATTAATTGCTTGGAAAGCAACATTATAAGTGGTCTTGTCATAAATGACATAAGTGATCATTTACCTGTTTTTGTTACTTTAGATTATAAAAGGACACGAAAGGAGGACGTGTGTGTGGACAGATATATAAGAATTAGAAATGATGATGAAATAAATAAGTTCAGGCAAGATCTTATGAAAGATTGGAATGAGGTTCATGTAAATAACGTCAATGCTGCATATGAGGCATTCTTAAGTACTTATTTTGGTTTTGTATGAAAATCACTGTCCACTGGTATTATATAAGCAAAAGAAAAATACTGGTAAACCATGGATAACAAAAGGACTAGAAAATGCATGTAAAAAGAAAAATAAACTGTATAGAGATTATCTAAAACTTAGAACAAAGCCTGCTAAAATGAAATATAAAGTTTATAAAATAAGTTAGTATTAATTATCAGAAAGGCTACGAAAGAATATTATAATAAATCATTTTACAACAACAAAAATATTAAGGGTACATGGAATATCTTGAAAAAATATTGGGTAATAAATATACACCCTTAAATTTACCTACTTACTTTAATAAGAAAAATAAGGTCATAAGTGATATGAATTAAGTGGTAAATGCATTTAATTCTTTTTTTGTAAATATTTGGCCTAACCTGGCAAACTTAATTAGAAAACAGGATGATTCAGAATGGAATGATGAATGGAAAGGAGAAAGCAGAGTAGTACAGTATGTTTTTAGGGGAAATCACTGAAAAAGAAATCATAGCTATTGTAGCAAAATCTAAAAACAAGACATCCACTGACTGTGATGGGTTAGACATGGTCATTGTAAAAAAGATCTTGGATTGTATAATCAAACCTCTCTGTTATATTTTTAATCTCTCATTTTATACGGGTGTATTTCCTGACTGAATGACAGTGGCAAAAGTTATCCCCCTTTATAAATCAGGAGACATAGTTCTAATAATTATAGACCAATATCATTGCTATCACAGTTTTCTAAAGTGCTTGAAAAACTCTTTGCACAAAGATTTGATAGTTTCATTGAAAAACATCAACTGTTAAGCGAAAGTCAGTACGGATTTCGACGGAACAGATCAACAGCAATAGCATTAATGAATACTATTGAAGACATTTCATCAGCAACACATCATAATAAATATACTATAGGGGTATTCATTGATTTAAGAAAAGCTTTTGACACTCTGCAACACTCCATCTTGATTTCTAAGTTAAGAACTTATGGTGTGAGAGGAATAGTATTGAACTGGTTAAGCAGCTATTTAGATAATAGGTTTCAGTATGTGCAGTGTTTAGGCAATTCATCTGATAGAATGAAAATAGAATGTGGGGTCCCTCAAGGTTCTGTTTTAGGACCAAAACTTTTTAATTTATATATAAATGACATTTGTGATGTGTCAAAAATGTTGAATTTTGTTTTGTTTGCAGACGATACAAATTTTTATTGTTCCGGAGAGAACTTGAAAGAATTGGCTAAAATTATGGTTATTGAAATGAAAAAAAAAATTAAAAATGGTTTGATGTAAATAAGTTATCACTAAATTTGGAAAAAACAAAGTTTATAATATTCGGAAACCGTGTAAGGGAGGAAGAGATAGTATTCTCTATAGAGGGAGTATTAATTGAAAGAGTGACAGAATTCTGTTTTCTGGGTGTAATAGTGAATGACAAGTTAACATGGAAATCTCATATTGAACATGTTAAAAAAAAGTTGGCTAAAAGTATTTATATCCTGGGTAATGTAAGATATATATTAGATTACAAGACAATAAGAATATTATATTTTTCATTGTTTCTACCCTATCTGAGTTATTGTGTTGAAGTATGGGGGAATACATGTGTGACTAATATGAAACCATTACATTTGTTACAGAAGAGAGCGCGTTGAATTATGCATAATGTTAAATATAGAGAACACATTAATAGTTTGTTTATAAAATCAAACTTATTAAAAACTAGAAGATATAGTGAAATTACAGACAAATTATCAGAGCGTTCTCACTCCCGAGGCGTAACATGTCGACGTTTTGTCACGTCCCGCGGCGTTCCTGAGGAACGCGAAAGGAGACCTTCGGCGTTCTTATGGTACGCGGCGGGTTATGGCTGGAATCCAGTGCAATGACGCTCCCGCGGTAATAGACGTTCCAGCCCTGTATTCCAGCCCTAAACCTAACCTTATCCCTAGCCCTGACCATAACCTTATTCCTGACCTTAACCAGGACTTTAATGATGTTAAATAGCGTGTTTCTAAGCGATTTGAAGAAAAAGAGCAGTCCAGACGGTTCTCATATTTCCTCTTTTTTCCAAGGTCGTCATTTAGGAACGTGGTGGGTAGCCGAAAACGTAATATGGTGACGATTTGTCACGTCACGATCCTGGGTCTTAGGACCCAGTGTTTTGAGTTTTAGTTAATCTTAATGTGTATAGTTTGTTAAGCTCATTAGGCCTCCTATGTTAATTTGCTTATTAGTTCCCCCTTGTGTTTCCAACCCATGTTAAGTCTCCCCTGCCCTTCATGTCTCTCTGTGCCCCCTCTGTTCTGTTTATTGTGTGTCTTTGCATGTTTGAGTTTCTTGTTTTCTGTCACCCTGCATTGTGCATTATGTTCTCATGGTTGGTCTTTTGTTACTCCCTCTAGTCTAGTCTCTTGTGTTCAAAGCTGAGTATTTCCCTCTGTGTATTTTGGTTCTTAGACCTCTGCCTTATGGTTTGTCTCTGTTTCTTAGTTGCTGTCTCCACTGTCAAGTTTTGTCTGCGTTTCGTTATGCTTCCTGTTTTATTTTGGAAGGAGTCGTGTGTTCTTGGTTCTTTGTATTTAGCTTCACTGCTCCTGTCATTAGGTTCATGTTAGTCAGCTGTTTCCTCATGTGTCTCCACTTCCCTCGTTATCCCTCTGTGTATTTAAGCCCCATGTTTCTCTTTGTCAGTGTTGCGTCCTCCATCATAGCTGTGTGATTGTTCCCTGTGGCTCCTTGTGCTTTAGTTTTCCCAGTTTAGTTTATTTTGTATTGTTTTTCATGTCCCACTCCACGCCAGCAATAAAGCGGTGTTTTTTGAGTTTAATTTCGTCTCCGTGAGTTTGCGTTTTGGGTCCTACTCTTGCCTGCACACAGCCGTATTGTGACAACGCAATAATATTAAAACTAGTGAAATTACAGACTTTATTATGTTTAGGGCGAAAAATAAAACACTACCTCTTAAGTTACAAAGTTTATTTGTATTGTGTTCAGAAAATGGGGACGGCAGAAGGAAGTTTTATTTTAAGCACCGGTTTGCTCGAACCACACAAAGGCAAATGTGTCCAACAGTCATAGGCATAAGAAACTGGAATTCTCTCAGTGATCATCTTAAGTGTTGTACAAATGTTTCTCAATTTAAAATCTGCTATAAGAATAAAATGATAAACCAATATGAAGAAGTTGAAAATAATAGAATTTAATTGTAGAAAAAATCATATATCAGAATCAGAATACTTTATTGATCCCTGGGGGAAATTATTTTTTTGTTACAGTGCTCCATTATAAACAAACATTAACAAGACAGACAATACGCTAACTAAGAATAGTACAATATATACATATACATAAAGTCAATTATTAATAAATACCTGAAAAAGAAACGTGTAGTTGTAGCAGTAAACAGTGTGTGTATATAAACAGTGTGTATATATAAATAAAACCACAGGTTGTTTTTGTTGTTTTTGTTGTTGTTTTTTTGTACATTAGTAATTCCTTTTGTGCATAATTTTATATTGTTGTTAATAATAAATTAATTAAAGCAACAAAACAACCTGAAGAGCTGGTTGGGAGCCGAAAGATCCGGATCTTTTTAGTGAGTCGCATACCAATGAGAAAAAGTAAATCTTTCATTCAGCTGTTATTAACTGATCTTGACTTAGTTAATTAAACGTTGTAAACGTGCTTTCAGTGTGTCCTGTACATGAGTTCTTTTAGTAAACCACAGCACGGTGTGTTTTTTGAGCTGATGAAGTTCAGCCAAAACAAGAAACATGCAGCAGGGGACAGTAACTTGTTAAAATGTTATAAAAGGACAATTAAAGATTTTCACCCTACATGGTTGTCAATGATCCAAGGATAAATGTCTAATTTGATCAAAAGTTCTATATGCTATTTTTGGAGGGAGTGCAGTGGAAATGTTGTCACTTTTGGACTTTGCTACTTGCAGCTAAATAATTTATTTAAAAGCTGCAACTGAATGAGGGAATATTTGTCTAAAAACTTAAACTGAACTAGAAGAGTAACAGTGCTCCAGCTTACCATCTTTACCTGAGTAAATCTGTTTGTTGAACAATCTAAATGGTTGATTCAGAAACTTCTGTGACATCAACTTAACTGAGACTCATTACAAATTTTACAAAACACAGTTGAATACTTTTATTATTTTTTATTAGATATTTTTGTTTTTGTTGTTATGTTAATTTTAATAAAATTAAATAAATTATTTCTTTATTTTATTTTATTATTAATTTATTTGTTTAATTTTTTGTTGTTCCCAGAGAGCAAGCCAAACACTGGTCCTGAAAAGGACTATCTCTAGTAGTGGTGCACCACTAGTAGATTTTAGTTTAACCTCCTAGGACCTGGCGTCCATATATCACATTTTGGGTTGTCTAGACCATTCATCAGGTCCCAATCAACCCAAATGGCACAGAGAAATTAAAAATGCGTGAACTGAAAGAGTTCAGGCCTTAGGAGGTTAACAATGTCTCTGACGATGAGACCAGTGAATGTGAGGCGACGGTGGCAAGAAAAAACTCCCTCCTGGAGGAAGAAATCTTAGGAGGAGCCAGGCTCTCTGGGAGGACCCTTCCTCCTAAGGGCAATACTTACCTAAAATTTGTCTGAGACGACTGTTGCTCCTTCCTTTTCAGCATGATGATGGCTGTAACTTGCTTCCACATCCTGTTTTAGAATGAAGACAAAACTGATGAACAAGGTAATAGGACATTTAAAAATTACCTCACTTCAGGATGAGCTTCTTACGTTTCTCTTGTAAAACAGGATGTAGGCTGAGTGCTGCTGTTCCTCAAAAACTGCACATCCGGTTGTGTGGAGCACCTGTGCATCATTATAGGTGAGCCAAGGATCTGATGTAACCTGCGGGCTCGCATCAGGATGCACGGAATTACAGATGTAGTGTCCTGAGATCACATTAAGACAAATGAATCCAACTTCTAAAAGTCAACTGATTCATGATTTGGACTTAGTGCTTCTTAGAACATCAAAAGCATTTGTGTGTGAGTCCTTCACTGAAAAGTAGCAAGCTCTGTTAAATCATTTTCTGTTTGTAACAAGTCAGTTGTTTTACCTGATTCTGTTCCTCCATAGTGACTAATGATGCTTATAAGACTGTAACAACCATCACCCTGAGAAGGAACAAATCCAAAGAGTGTTAGTTTCATAAAGTCTCACATCAGTGTGATAATTAAGCTGAATCTCTGAGATGTTCTGCAGTCTGTTTTTACCTGTTTGGATGACACCATCAAGTCCCTCTGCAGTCTGACGGGGTCATTCACCTTCTGAAGCTTGCAGGTTTTTATAAAGCCAAACCTCTTCAGGTGCAAAATGAGAACTCTGACAGAAAAGAAAAAAAAACCCCAAGGTACAAAACAAGAAGAATGAGTGACAAACACAAACCAAAGATGGGACAAAATGACTGCTCAAGTGTTGTCTTAAAAACTGATGTTTTTTGCACCACAGTTTGGAAACCAGGTCAGTCGATCAATTCTGATGTGACCTTACTCACCTTGGCAGTGTATGAAAAGACGGCTTCACTTCCGAGGTCGTCCCTCCACAATCACAGAGAAATTCAATTTTTTGTTCCTGAAAAACAGCACAGAGAAAACAGGCTTTATGGTAGAAAAAAAAAAATCACAACATATGCACACAAACACTAACAAAAAAGGTGTGTTAAGATCAGTGATACTATATCTCTACTGGAATTTCTGATCTTACCTTCAAGTATGTCTCTAACATGTTTTTAACAGACCCCTCTGGAACCAGGTCAAGAGACAAGCTAGTGAATTCCTCTTGGTGTAATGATTGGTGACCGCAGCTACACATTTAAGGAGTAACATAGTTAAAGTAATGATCAGGTAGGAGGAAAAGAGGTATATGAAAATGTTGCAATCAGCCCTGTGTTTCTGAATGACGGGCTTACCTCTTGCATGTCCTCATGTTTTCCATTTTGAAAACATGATGGTCTTCTACTGGGCAGGTATAACTTCGGCCCAGGAGAGCTGCTTTCCTCTTCAGGTGAGGTGAAAGGCTTTTGACCTCATTGAGGAACAAGGTTAGGAATTCATGAGCATCCTGAAAGAAAAACACAGAGGAGATTTAAAACAGAACATAAACATTAGAAAGTAAAGGAAAAAAAACAAAATGTCCAAATAGCTGACGTACTTTCTGTGCACTGCCTTTGTATTCAGGAGCGTGTTTGCTGAATGCCTCCTTAAAAGATTTTAGGCGATGTTTTTTAAGGCCATAATCTCTTGAATTATGACAGTCCCTGATGTCAGTGAGCCTTCTGTAAAAAGGAAAGGGTAAACAGACATTTCTGGTGTTAGATATCTTTGCTCTTCAGCTTTTTGAAGAAAGTAGAAGGTTGACGTAGCGCACCTTAAGAGCTGAGCTTCTGGGACTGCTCTCCACAAAGTCTCCTGACGGCTGATGTCTCTAATGAACTCGTCAGTGTTGAGCAGGCTCTGCAGGCAGGAGTTCATGTAGCAGGTGTTTGCAGTGTTTGGAAACCTGCCACACATACACAAAGTTTACAGTATCAGTGTAAAATAGTTCATTTTCTCCATTTTGACAAAGTGAGCTTTGGTCCTCGTGCACTACGTGTACTCACCCGAAGTGGTCCACAGTCTGAATTTTATTTTCCGTTATTTTTCCATCGTTCAAATGTTTCGCTACACTATTGCAAAAAGGTAAAAACACGAACACACAATTAGGAAAGATGTCAAGACGCTAAGCAGTGTATGTGCATGTATGCATGAGCTTTGAAGCTTAAACATTTTGACGTTTTTCTCTTACATGTCAACCACCTGCTCCCATACATGCTCTTGTTCCAGAAACTCCATAATCAAAGTGTCCCAACTCAGGTCTGATGGCTCACCGTTTTCAGTGGTGTTTTTAACCTGGTGGGAACTTTCACCACATTCCTTATGGGTGCTGCTGGATGAAGAAAGGAGTCAGGGATGCATAGCAAGCACAACAAGACAACAAACAAACATTGTCTCTCTGGAGAACAGCATTCAACCATCTAATGTTTATTTTGATAAGCACTCTGCCAAAATATTAAAAGCACTTACCTGGGAATGTCTGTAGTTTTGTCCTCGGGGCATTCTGGTTGTCCTGTACTGGGTCCTCTGAACTGTTCGGTGGAGGCTGGACTTCCAGTTCTCGGCCTTCTGTTTCCAGGCAGTCTTCTTGAGGTGGTGCTGCCTCGGCAGGTGTACAGTCATGCTGCATGTTCTTTAATCTGCAAAAATATACAAAAGGATGTCAAGTATCAAATCTACAACCAGAGGATCCCAAAAGAATTTTGCTTTAAAGTGAGAAGATTAAAGTTTCCCTCACTTGTCACTGATTTTATCAGGTTCCAATGTTGTTTCAGGAGCAACCTGCCTTTTTCTCTGTAGAAAGAAACCAAAAGACAGGACATAGCTGTGTGCTTCATTGCTCTTAATTTCTCCCATTTTATTGTGATGAGTAAATGCTTGATGACAGTGACTCTTTCCGTAAAACATACCTTCCAGAATTTGAAAATAGACCAGCGAGACTTTTTTTGTGGCTTCACAGTGTTGGTCTCTGCCTCTGTATCGCTGTCAGTTTCCTGTAGAGAACAAACAAACATAATGTTATTAAAAAAGTAAAGTCACTTAAAATTAACAAGTACATTTTAAGGAGAATATGCATTTCACGTGTTTTCTGTGAAAGCAAACCGAGAAACCGCAGAAGAAGTGTCTCCATTTTCTCTTCTTCCCTTTCTTTTTACCATTTTCATGGTTAGGTGGTGTGGCAGCAACAGAAGCCTCCGGACAAATTAAATAAATGATTTCTTCATTTTATTTTATTATTAATTTATTTGTTTAATTTTTTGTTGTTCCCAGAGAGCAAGCCAAACACTGGTCCTGAAAAGGACTATCTCTAGTAGTGGAGCCATTTTCATAGTTAGGTGGTGTGGCAGCAACAGAAGCCTCCAGGACGCTGATGAGGACAAAAGTGTAAATGTTATTTTTCAAAGTGGAAATTTTTAACAAGGAGTACATCCTGGATATTGCAAAGAAAAATTAATAACTGTTATTGAATACCAAAATGAACAAAATCATGCATTTTGTACATTTACACTCTATATTTTCAACTAATCTCTGAATCGATATAAATAATAGACAAAACTAGAAGCTGTAAAAATGATATAAACACACAAGGCGGAAGAAAAATAACAATAAAAGGGAAATAAAAGAGCTCACACTAAACCACTGCTATAAATATCTCCAGCAGCATTAAAGAGTCACACATTTCTTTACCTCTTTTGAGACGTAGAAGGAATTTCTGTTTAGAAACAAGAAAACCAACATCAGTAATGCCATAAAACAAACATACCAAGGGAGGCTCGTTTTAAAGTTTGAATGGTGGCTCTAGGCTGGTTAGAGTGGAAAGAGGAGTAAGTTGAATGAGGATTTGAAGGGTCTCCCCATTGAAATACATTATAAATCTTTGTTGAATAAAGTTGAATATTTAAAAAATATAAATGTTAAAAATGAGAAAAATAAAAGCACACACGTCCTAAAGAAGAGGAATCTAACGGTGGTTGAAGGGTTTTTCTAAGTTGAACGGTGTTGAAATAGTCAGAATCAAAAAAACGTACAGAATAGATAATAAATCAGAAAAATAATAATAAAGATTACTTAAACAGCATCCACACTAATAAATTTTGCTGTACCTCAACTGCTCACCATTTTCTGCTGAAGAAAGTGGATGGATGGATGGACAGACAGACAGATAATGTTATAATTTAGAAAGAAATTCTTATTGAAGTTTGGGTGTTTGGTTGGGTCTAAATATAATCATATTGAATACCAGTGTTCACATCCTGCCTTCTAAACAACACTGCTTTCTTTTAACTGTGATCACAATCTTCCTTAAGCTGAGCCAAATTGATTTAACTGACAGAACAATCAATTTAATCCAGTGAACATATTCTGGAGCTTTTGATCTTTACACAGCCTTCACGATAAGATATTTCGTCCAGATTTCAGCAGAAATTTAGACGCTCTACTAGTATATTTTGAAATAAATGACATAATATGTCACAATTATTACAGAAGGGTTTTCTTACCCGATGCTTTTATCACCTCCACGGCATCATGTGTCTTTGCTTTTTAAAAGGACAGTTGAATAACAAATTGATTTTGTTACATAACAAAACTATTGATTGTGGCCATGATTAAAAAGAAAATACAGACTGTCCAATGTTTTGGCGATTTATCCTTCCACCCTGACATCCTCCCTGCATGAACCCTCCCCCTGCAAGCAACATCAAACTGGGGATTTTTGCTCTAATGGTAAATCATTTTAACCAGTATGTGATCAGCCAACACGTCTGGTTACACCTCGGGAGTGAGAGCGGTCTGGATCAGCATGCACTACAGTTGACTAAAGTTACAAAAAAAAGGTGGTCGGAAAGTTGCTGACAAACCTTTCTTGCAAACAGATCAGGAATCTCTGATGTTGATGAATATTGCAGTTGAAATTCTTATCAAAGCATGGCGTAGCTCATTTGTATCCAATGTGTCCTGCAGTGTCTGTCCCCTGACACACTGGGTCATGGCATCTGTGGGAGGGATTTGTCACTGAGCTGTCAGTGAATGTTGGTTGTAAAGCAGTGAAAATCCAAACCACAACTGCTCGAGCCGTTTCTCATCACAAGCATGTCAGGTAGTGCCATTTTGTCAAATCCCCAGACCAAACCAATGTTTCCTAATGTTTCCTGTCTAAAAAAGTTAAAACTAACCACTGAGTGAAACACCCTCAGCATCTAGTATTCATTCAGCAAGCCACTGATGTCAAAGGATACCTTGTCTGCACTTTTGAGACACTGCTGGTTTCTAACAGAAAAGCTGGCATGATAACCTGAAAATGAGCATTCGGTGATACACTGTTAAAGCCACATCCAAAGGGACTTTACTGTTTAATCAGGTGGGTTGTGCACAGTGATAATGATGGTGATAAGGTGGGAATCTCAAAACGCAAAAAAGAGACAAATATAGCAAAAACAGCTGAAAACAATGCACAGATATCCTCGGGTGGCACACAGACTCAATCGAGTGTAAAACAGAATCCAGCAGAGTTCTGCAGATCGAATCTTTCTAGACAGGAAGTTTCTTCCCTTTCATGTGTAACTTTGTGAGTCTGTGCGTGTGTGTGGGTATAACTTAGACATTGGGAAATGGCTGGCCATCTGAACTTTAAAGGTGTCTGCTGTGTGTCCCTGGAATCAGAGCAGAGGTTGTTCCTTTTCAGTCAGAACCCCGTTGTCTCATGCGAACACACACACAGGCGTAGACAGAGAAAGAGAGAAACCAGAGGGACGGGGGTGTGATGATCACCCCCTGCATGCTCGCGAACAAGCGTAACAATGTGTGCACAAAGCAGGCAGAAAGAAAACGTGAAAATGCTTTTTGATGTGCTTTCATGACTACAGTTGTAAACTCGGTGTAATAACAGTCTCTGGGTGACAACAAACACGTTCACTTTTCAGGCAGTATAAGTACAGGACAAATCACTCAGTGATTTAAGGGTGACAAACTGTTTCATTAATGGTCATACTGGAAACAAGATCACATCAGGGGCTAGACATACAGTCACCAGCCACTTTATTAGGTATTCCTGTTCAACTGACTGTTAACGCAAATATCTAAACAGCAAATCACACACAACTCAGTGGATATCGACATGTAGATATGGTCAAGACAACCTGCTGAAGTTTAAACCAATTATCCGAATGTGAGGGGGGAAACAATGGTCAGATGGGCTGTTCTGATTATTTCAGACACTGCTTGCCTGCTGGGATTTTCCCACACATCCATCTCTGGGATTTACAGGATTTTTCTGAATGGTCTGAAAAAGAGAAAATATCCAGTGAGTGGGAGTTGTCATGGTCTTAGTCTTGACCCACTGTTTTTATGTTTGAAGTGTTAAATTTTTGTAAATTATTAATTGTTTTGAGTTTTGTATGCATCTGTCGGGTTTGTTTTATTTTGATAGTCCATTGTCTCGTGTGTATTATGTTCAGTTTGCGTCCCTTACCTCGTTACGTCTTTTTTGTTCCTGCTGTGGTTCCCAGCTGTCTCGACTCCTCTAATCTTCCCCTTGTTTACAGTGGCTTGCAAAAGTATTCGGCCCCCTTGAACTTTTCCACATTTTGTCACATTACAGCCACAAACATGAATCAATTTTATTGGAATTCCACGTGAAAGACCAACACAAAGTGGTGTACACGTGAGAAGTGGAACGAAAATCATACATGATTCCAAACATTTTTTACAAATAAATAACTGAAAAGTGGGGTGTGCTAATTATTCAGCCCCCTGAGTCAATACTTTGTAGAACCACCTTTTGCTGCAATTACAGCTGCCAGTCTTTTAGGGTTGTCTCTACCAGCTTTGCACATCTAGAGACTGAAATCTTGCCCATTCTTCTTTGCAAAACAGCTCCAGCTCAGTCAGATG